GTCAAAAGTTTATGACAAAAGTTACAAAAAGAGCCAGCCTGTTACAAAGACAATATATCGGGAAATCACATGGCCATCTGAGAAAGTTTCAAACCGGAAAAATATATTTGACTGCTTCAACTATGACCCTGGTCTCAATCTGATTTCTCAACCCTTTGAGGTTCTAACATTGACCCTCAATTACTTGAATGGGTTTTCCTTTGCTAAAAAATCAAACATTTGTCATATATATGATCTTATACAAAAAAATGTCAACACCCCTGACCTTTTGGAGGTGTTGTGTGAGAAATATAATAGTTGAAGAGACATTGTGAAAGAGGTTGTAAACTCCAAGGGATAAACTCAAGTAATAACAGAAATTAGTTGTAAATCCAGACATTTTAACTTCGAACATTGGCACTTTGAGGCTAGACTATAAGATATTTATCCGTCATGAATATCGTAGTCTCTACATGGATGACCTGTCTTTGATCAAACCGGAGAAGAGATTAGTCGAGACACATGTAAAATGGCCTAAACACGCCCAACTTTTAAACAAAAGGTTAAATGATAATTTTTGTAAAGAAAATCATTTGGTTCTAGGGCTCACATATTGAACATAAACATGTGACAACAATAAGGACAAAATTGGGAACAGAACTCAAAATGATTTGAATTGGGAGCAAGAGTGCAATTTAAAACTTACAACTGACATGTTAGCGGTAACTTTTCAACTTTGTCCAAAAAAATATTAATGAAGCCAAGGACTTTTGGCCTTCCAACTATGTTTTGCACCTCAAAAGACCAAACCAGCATGAATAGATAAATCCAAAGCAGATAAAGTAAAGAAAAGACAGAAGAGAAATAATAACGTAAAGAAGATCCAATGTTACAAAAGTAACGGCCATTGTTTTCAAAGATGGAAGCCCTACTCCAGTTTTTCTGCACCTTTAAATCATTGCAACTCCCCCACCCAACCAGCAAACCCTCTTTCCACTCCCCACACTAAAAAAAAAAAAATCAAAGTCACACACACACACACACACACACATATATATATATGTCCGTATATATGTGTATATAAATCTTTTAATGTATTCACATATAAGGTAAGATTTCCATACCGAAGTAGGTACAATAGCAAAATTTATTGTTTTTCTAGGTTAAGTTACATTAAGCTATAACTCCAACTCCGACTCTTAATTTGTTGTTACTTTGGTATTAATTTTTTTTTGGGTGATGTAGTTTTACCCATTTACACACACACACACACAATGTTGTACATACCAAATTCTCATCCCAAAATGATGTGATATATTTTTCACCATTAGGTAATAGTGTTCTATTAATATTCAATGATAGTGATTGTGTTATATTGTTTGGGATTGAAAATTTGGTAAACATAACCCTAAGGGATAGTTCAGGTGGTAATATGTATGATTTATAAATTCAGATGTTTTCAGTTCGAATTTTGACAAACTTTTAGATCTAGGTCATGAGGAATTTATTTTTTATGAATACCCTAGTACATGGGTGAATGACTTATTTTTGACTGGACTGAAGGGGAATTAGTCGAAGTGCACGTAAGCTGGCCGGACATCCCTAACCGTTGAATATAAAAAAATGGTAAACATAACTTTATTGCATATATATATATATATATATATATATATATATATATATATATATATATATATATATATATTTATTTATTTATTTATTTATTTATTGATCATTCCATACATAGCATAATTTATATTGGTCAGATTTCATGTAGACATTCTTACTATAGTCTCTCTCGTTCATTCAATTCATTAGCTTTCTCTGGTCGACAGCCTCATTTGTCCTCCCGTTTCCTTTGATTCTATAGCTGGTTTAACTCAGACAGACCCATTTGTTTCTACCCTCTATGAGTTCTACATCTATCCTATCTTTTCACCCTCTCTAATTCATCTGTACCATTTTTTGTCTTCCCATCCTTCATTTTCTATTCACTAGTCTGTTTTTGTACTGCTTTTATCTGCATATCTTTCACTATAGTCCCTTTATTTTGCTGAAGTCTTTTCTTCCTCAGGCTGTGACCCTCTCTCTCTCTCTCTCTCATATGTTTTGTGTTTCGGTCTCATACTGTCTGATTCAGTAGAAGAAAATAGGAATATAGTTTCCACTCCAGAAATACAAGTACTTTATGATCATATGATCAGTAGTTCACAATGACACTGGTGCAAAAGTTGCAAAATCAGCTACCACCACTAGTTGAGCCACCGCCGGTGGTGGTGGAGCCAAGCCACTCCACTCGCCGATCAATCGAGACACTGGTGGTTGTGGTGGCAGTGATCATAATAGTTGGTGTTATTGCAGGGATCATTGCTCGGGTATGCGGGGGACGACATTTTGGGGGCACCGGAGAGAATGACATAGAAGGATGGGTAGAAAGGAAGTGTAGGAGCTGCATTGACGGTGGAGTTCCGGCACCGCCGCCACCAGCAGAACCGAAGCCAACAACAGAAGCAGAAAAGAAATGAGGGTAGATGGCGATACATATAGGAGATTATTAGGTGTTGCAAAGTAGGATCATTAAACAGAATGCAAAACATGGTGATAGCTTCAGCAATTAGCAGTCAGGTTTGAGTCGAATAGTCCGAATTCTTGAACTGAAGTTTTTGGATCGGGTTTGAGTCGAATAGTCCGAATTCTTCTGCGAAGTTTTTGGGTTGGGTTTGAATCGACTAATTCGAATTCTTAAGCTGAAGTTTTTGGGTCGGGTTTGAGTTGTCAAGATTCGAAATTCTAACACTTGATTTGATTGTCATCAGAAACAGGAAAGTTGGGAGGATTGCAGCCTCATGTTATAACATTAGTGATTTCAATGGAGTCTAACAGTATTATTGTAGAATGCCACTATACATTTCTTGCTTTCTTTGTTTAATTACAAATGAACTCATATTATTTTTCTGTGCCTACTCTTTACAGCTATTATGATTTATTAGGATTATTGACGTAGTAAAGTTTACGCAATAACAAAGCACACATACGCGATTGTTTTGTATATTTGAGTGGCTACTTCATCTATTCTCAAGCAATTTCGGGTTAAATGCTCTACTACACGGTGCTAGAGTTAGGCCTTGAGTGGTTTGAATCTCTCACCCATTTGAATTCAGTTCGGCTTTTCTGTTTGTTCTGGTTAAGCTCCAGAACTTCAAGCATGTGTATTAGGGATCTTCTCCAGTTTAAGCACAATACTTCCCTTTGTGGGAAAAATTCTCATCAAAATATTCATTTTCCTTTTGTCATTTCTCTTCATAAACGATACTAATTTCCAAAAAAATATCAAAAGAATTTGTCTTTGAGGAAGCACTAATATGTTGTACGATCTTAATTTACAAATCAATCCGTTTCTTTTCTCCAAATACTTTTGTTTTTTGCAAGTTGTAACGTCTCTCTTTTGGTACTGATTCATTAAAGACAGTACGTTGAACCGGTAGTTCAAGAGGTAGCAAAAAAGAGTTGTAAATTCAGATGTTTTAGGTTCAAATTTTGACAAATTTTTAGGGTTAAGTTAGTAGAGATTTATCCCTCATAAACATCTTAATCTTAACGTGAATGACCTGTCTTTAACAGGGCAGAGGAGAGGATTAGACAAATTATGCGTAACCTGATCCAAACATGTTGAAAAAAAAAAAATTTGTAGTGACTAGCCATTGTCCATAATCGACTTTTTTAACGGCATAACCGGGTACAAATGCCTTTATGCTGCCCATTACCTTTAAAGGGAGAAATTTTTTTGTAGGTTTAACATATCGTTTATTGTACATTCAAAATAAATAACTATCACATATCATATTATCAAAATTATATCAGAATTTCTGTTTTGGCGCTCTCTCATTGGGGGTGCACACTACACTTATAAGCAAGAGTTTTAATCGAGACGAATTATTTGTACTCAATTCGGATAAGACTCAACTTGAGCTTAATTCGTGTTCTAAACGAGATGAATTTGAATAATTTTTTAGACTTATTTAAAGAAACGAGTCTAAAAAGGCTAAATTCAAACTCGCAAAACTCGATTTGTTTTCATTTATATGTAAAGTAGTCGAGCAATTCGGACTTTGATCGAGCTCAGACTTGATTCATTTTTTAAACAAGTAGAGATTGAACAATTTTTTATGTTTGTTTAGAAAAACGAGCTTGACAGGATCCAGTTTAAGCTCACAAAATTCGGCTCAATTAACGCCCCTAATTAATAGCGATGATATTACTGAATCAATAATATTGATATTTCACAAAAATTATTTATAGGAGTCCTCAAAACTTAAAAACAGTTAGAAAGTTGAATTAAACTACTAATCATATGGAGATAACTAAGAATGAAAAATTGCGACAGAAGCAATTGAAATCAAATTACATGACGTTTAGAGTTTAACTAAAAAAATCGACGAAAATCGAATTAGGATTTTATTTAATAAATTACAAATATTCTAAATCTTCCATAAAGCGAGAAAAAGCTAATTTCAACGCCTAGGATTTAGATTCCCTCTATTATCCCTTATCTTTAATTTTTCTCGATATAATGTTAGATGAATAACATTATGTAAGATTTTAAATTTTAATAGATAAGATGTTTCCTCATTTTTATTGTTGGTGGAGTGTTAACCATTATTAAGGAATTTTCTCATAAGGAAAAAATCTTATTCATTGAAATTCAAATCTTACACGTGCCACTCATCCAACACTGTATTAAGGGGAATTGAAGGGAAGAGATAATAGAGGGAATTTGAATCCCAAAGCGTAAACGGTAGAATTAGATGAAAAATCATGATAAGCCTAGAGTGAATGGTGTTTTCCCGTATTTATTTGCTATTCATCTCAGAGTGATCCGCAATGATGAAAGCATTATATAGGCCCTGCATTCAATTACATGTTCATGTTCAAAAAAAAAAAAAAAAATCAGTTAGATGTTGTTTAAAACTGTTTTTAAAGAAAAATGACAACCATTTTAAGATGATTACATTCAAACTGTACCTCAATTTTATATACATTATTTGTCTGTACATTTAGAGAGCGCTGACAGGGAGAGGGAGGGAGGAAGGGCGAGGAGAGAGATCAAATTATTCATTGTGCTCTTCTTTGTTGAAGCATTATCCTCTTTTAAGAGGAGTCGGTGGACGACAACATTGCTTAACCAATAATACAATTTCATGATCCACTCAACCATTAGAACTCAGATACAATCTAAGCACAATGTATAATTACACTCTCCACATTCGAATATGGGACACTCAATATCAATACAAGTATGAACAAAGATAACTCTAACATAAGAATGACCACAACTGCAATACGAGAACCTCTTCCTTGCCTTTCGTACAAATGCCAGAGAGTGTGGATGACAATTAACTTCAATGGTACCTCCATACTTGACGTTTGAATAGTAGTCTTTAATGCAGAAAAGATGAAACGATTGATCGCAATCACTACAATAATAGAGCCAATAGCTGGGATTCATTTCTCTCTCACATATTTCACAGTGAAACTCATCAACATGCTCACTAAATGGAGGATAACACAGGATTAGGGGATGTTTGTCAAATCTATGCCTGATGGTACCTGGGAGTAGAGCACTGTTGTGAGATATTTTGAACTTGCAATCATCACATTTAAATCCGCTTGTAGAGAAGCTGAAACCACTTCCATTGCAGAGATCTTTTGAACCTTTCATTTGAACCAATGGATGCTTGTGAGCTTGATGTGCAATCGAAGTAGGTAGGAAAGCACATTTGACATCAAGGATGAATTTACATGTTTCACATTTGTAGAAAAATCCATTTGTCCATACCCAGCAAGCATCGCACAAGGAGGTCTTGTAGAATTTCATAACCTGACAAAGTACCATTGGGTGTTCATGGTGAATTGGGTGCCGCAATTCCCGTGGTAAGTTGACACAACTTAAATGGAGAAAATAGTTGCATTGACTACAACAGTAAAATGGAAATGATATTGGTTGCACGCAACCATCACATAACGTAATCTCATCTTTGATATCATCGTCCTTTTGCACATCAAAAAGGATTAGTGGATGCTCATGACTCCAATGGATGAGCTCTGCCTCTCTCTCAATATCTTCAAGATTGATTTGTTTAGCATATTGTCTAAACAGTTCTAAGGAACCATTGGTCACCGGTAAGTGCAACAGATTAGGGTCGATTGATTGATCAACTTCATTCTCATCTTCATTCTCATTTTCACCGCCTCTTAAACTACAAAATTTCAAACAAAACATTTACTTGACATTAAGAAAGATAAATAAAATTCTTCTAACAAAAAAACCCGTGTTCCCTTTATTGAAATAAAGACAAAAGTTTTCATTCGAGATTTCCTAATAATCAACTTAGCGAAATCCTCTATTTCATATACCAGAAAAAATTAATGATCCATCGAGGACAGAATTTATCTCTAATAATAGTTATCAATCTATTTTCTTCTATTTATACCTATTCCAGGCCAACGATTCAAGAATCCCTTAACCTAAATCAAGGAACTATGAGTAATGCTATTTAGACCTAAAAATTTAATCTAATTTGTTTGCCTAATCTTGTAATTTTATTGTAACCATTGAATTAATATCAAGTTCTAATAGTTGATGAGACTTTAATCAATCCAATATATAGTTGTAATGAAATAGATCAGAAGATTAAATCCAAAAATAATATTGCTCTAAGAAAAGAGTAATACTATTTAGTTTTAAAAATTTAACATAATTTGTTGATCTATTGATGTAATTTTATTGTAACCATTAAATTAATATCAAATTTCAATATTTGATAGGCTACAACAAATATTTTAATATAAAAGATAAAATGAATAAACTCACCTCAAAGTATCTGGAGTTGTAATTAAACATTTCACGTGGAGAAAATATCTACACGGAGCACAACAATAAACCCAGTGGGCGGTGGAAATGTAGAGTCTGCAAATACGACAATACTGATCAAAATTTGTTAACATAGAATACTGATAGACGAGAGTGAGAGGGTGACGGTGATAACCACGGTTGATAGTTTTAGGTAACGAAAGACAACTCTTATGGACCACGAATTGACAAGTCAAACATACATATGACATATCTTTACTTTCCATGCGGCAAACATCACAAAAGAAAGAGGTTGGCCTAAATATGAGGTTGGCTAAAGGGTGATCATGAACTTCATTTATAACCACGCGTTCTTCTGCTAGGTAACATGACATGCAGATAGTAAAGTCGCAAGGAAGACACCAGTAGCTGAATCGATTTCCACTTGCTCTACAGATATCACAAATATACTTATCATCATAATGGAGGGTTAGAAGGTGTTTGGAGTGTAGGGAGTTTTCAACCTCCCGAGGGAGTTCTGCACAACTTTTGTGTAGAAAGTAAGAACACTCTCCACAATTATATGCAGAGTCCAAGATCAATTTCTCGCATGCATAACAGAAACATTCGTCACCTTCACCCTCTTTTTGCACTTCTTTGAGGATCAATGGATGCTCATGACTGAAATGTTGAAGCTCCATCTGTATGTCTTGGTGGGAAAGAGATCACGAGGTGGCGGGAGGGAGCTAGGTAGGTTTTCGACTCTGTGACAACAAAATTGAATATCTGATACGAATTCAATGATATATACAAATATATATACTTTCTAACACACATGCGACTAAAAGGCCATATTTTTTCATCAAATCAATTAGTTTGGTAAGAAAAATCTCACAAAATACCATAAAATCGATTAAACTCACCGATGAATACCGGTACTATTTTCTCTCTTCCGCAGCGGCACTAATCCCTCAAACGGGCATTTCGAAGCCTCAATTTTGTTCACAAGAAATCACAGTCGACTTAGCCGTGGAGTTTACAGACGAGGAAGGTGGTTTCCTCCACAATATTTTCTTCCCTCTAGTTGCTCAGCTTCAGCTTTTTGGGGGCGAACAATGGGGGAGACGAAGAGAGAGAAAAAGCGGGAGAGAGAGGACACTAATAATGCAACAAATAATGCACTTCTGGAAAACACCATTACAGATAAGGGCTATGGGTATGAAATGATACGCTGCCACGTGCCCAAATTTGAGTGAAGAGTTGGACGTGGGGACAACCTATCCGTCTATACAGTGCTGCTCAATAATTGCTTTGTAAAAAAGATGTGGCTCTGGGAAAACAGAACTTGATTACGGCACTCAACTAATAGTTTTGGTATCGGACTTTTGATTTTTATCATTTTAATATTTATTTTTATAATTTTTATGAATTATTTTATAATTAAAAAATTTATTATTTTTTGAATAATTTATTATCACTGTTGTGTGTGTGTTTGTGATAATTATTTTTACTATTTTTTCTTTAATACAAAAAAATTATCACATTTATAAGTATATTTATTATATTTATGAGTATTTTTATTATATTTATTAATATTTTTATCACTTTTATAGTAATTATTTTTATTAAATTTTTGAATATCACAACAGTAATAAAAAAATTTATAAATATAATAAAAAGAGGTGTCGTTCCGTACCATGTCAACTCCAGGAAAACATGTCTAAGTTGGGCAACTGAAATAAAAAATCTTTTTATGTTTTTTCTCTCATTTGTTCGATTACTCTTTTCAAAAAAATTTATGTATTTTTTTAATTATATTTTAAATACAATTGTAATATGTTCACTCTTACTCATTATATATTCTCTAATAGTATCAGATATTTATTAGTTAAATGTTAGGTGTATCGACTCAAGGCCATTACTTGCACCTAAATTTCTCTCTTTACCTATCAGTCCAACTTCTTTTGTTACTGCTAGTTTCAATTTTTGTGCACAAAGAGTAAGTATTCAATGTAACGGTTGATGAAATAAAGACTAACATCACACATCATAGTTGCATCATATTCATAAAATTCATAACACGTAGAATTAAAATTATAACCTTAATCATTTCGTTAAATTAAATCCTATGAAACACAGATATTTCGTCAAAATCGACGTATCTGTATTGAATATCACATCAGATATGATATTTATCAAATACGTATCCGATAATCAATAAAATATATAGATACACATTATACTTTGTGGATACTTCTGCACATGGAGCAAGATGTAAAATTTTTAATGTTGATTTATACTATCTTCTTTCGAGTTCACATACAATACAAAACATCAACAAAATTTTATTTTATTTTGAAGACAGGAGTATTTTTTAAGTATTATCTACAATACATGTTAAAAGAGTACAAAAAATTGAGTTAGTTACACTATAATATTAAAAACAAATATTTATTAACAAACCATCTAATTAAATGTTGGTTTTAATTCCTTTAATTGGTCATGTTAAGTTATGAATATATCTTGATGAGACGATATTACATATTTTTAATATAAAATAACCGTACCCACAAGCATTGCAATGATCGGGCCACCAACTTTCACGTAGGGAGCGCTTGTGAGCTTAATGTACAATAGAGGTGGGCAGGAGAGCACATTTAACATCAATGGAGAGTTCACACCTGTCACACTTGTAGAAGAAACCGTTGTTGCATGACTTGCAAGCGTCGCAACCGGTGAGTGGATAGAATTGATCACTAGACTTTGACAGCTGGATCGGGTGGCTGTGAATTGGGGATTGTATCTCTCTTGGTAAGTTGACACAATTTAAGTGGAGAAAGTAATCGCATTGTACACAACAATAAAATGGATGTGCAATTAGTTGCACGCAACTGTCACATAATGTTGTGTTATCGCTCATCTCGTTGTTATTTTTCATATTGAAAAGTATGAGCGGATGCTCATAACTCCAATGTTGGATCTTTGGTTCGCACTTAATCTTTTCAAGGCAGAGATGTTCAACTAAACATTTCGTCGGCAAGTGTAGTACATCAGGATCGCCGTCTTTATGATCCAAATCACTATATATGTATATATTAGTTACTTACCAATAAAAAAACATTAGTTTTTGTTTTTTTTTTAGGGGGGAGGGGGGAGGATGGATAGACTCACCTCAAAGGTGTTGTTGAAGATGAAGTTGAGCACTTCACATGAATACAACATCTGCATAGGGCACAACAATAAGCCCAAGAATTTAAATTAATGACTTCACCACATATATAACAGTCTTGTTCATCTATTCGGGTTAACTCAATCAACCGCATGAGAATGAGAGAGTGATGGTGATAAGTATGGTTGATGGTATTAGGTAACAAAGCACAACTCTTATGCATCCAGAATTGACAGATCCCACATAAATAGGATGAATCTGTGTGTTTCGTGTCACAAATATTGCAAAAGCAAGAGGTTGGCCTTAGTAGGAGGGCTAATGGGTGCTCGTGACTTTTATGTGTAATGATACGGTCTGCTATGTAACATGGTATGCAAATATTAAATTCGCAAAACACACATGTAGCCGAATCCTTTCCAAACATGTCCACAAAAATCACATCCCAAATGACTGAAATGAGTATCAGTAGGAAGGAGCTGTAGATTGTGTCGGTGTATGGAGTCTTTAACCCATTGTCGGAGTTCCGCACATCTTTTGTGCAGAAAATAATTACATTGAGAACAGCTATATGCAGGGTCTAAGATCTGTTTCTCACACATTTTGCAGATAACTTTGTGGCTTTCATCCTTTTGTATTTCCTTGAGGACCAATGGATGGTCATGGCTGAAACGTGTCAGTTCTTTCATCTACATGTGTGTGAGAGAGAGAGAGAGAGAGAGAGGTACTAGGCCTCCGAAATTGTGAGGAGAGATTAATATGTACATAAAATCTTGAAGCGGATATGTCAGACTCATATAGGTTCTTGGGCCTAAATTTTGAGTAAGGCATCTAATTATATATGATTATGTATTTTTGACTATGTGTAGGGAGGGATTAAGAATAAGTACAACCAAAGAAAGGAATGAGTACTTGAACATAACTTGAAAAACACAAGAGGTTTCATGTTGGTAGATGAGAAAGATGGGGAGGGGGTGGAATTTAATCAATTTATATTACATTTAGAAGGAAGAAGATAGAAGCAATAAATGATTGGCGAAGATGATTTCTCAACTCAATTCCATAAATTTTTTATTTAATCTAACCATTTGGAGTCCACTTGTCTACAACGATAATTTGCCAATGAGAAAAATGGAAAAAAATAGTATTAGAGGTATATCATTTTGGTTTGTTTTAGGTTACCCGTTACTATTAATTAAGTATATCGAATTCAAGTTGACTAATAAATAACTCGAATTAGAAATGATATAACCCAAACATGGTACCACTCGATTTGACAAACCCATACTCGTGCTCCTCAATTCACCTAAGGTGGGCAACTCTCTAATTCCGAGAGATGTCTAGATCATTTCCTATGTAATCCTAATCATAATGTAATTCGCTCCACCTTTGTTTTTAATAAGAAAAATCTTAAATTAGATAGGAGGTTGGTTTGATTGTAAGAGAAGACATTGCTAGTCTAAAATTTCTTTGCAATTTTAGGAAGACACTTTTGAGGGCATCTGGCTTGCTTCCATATTAGGTCAAGTGATTCTTTCCTTTAATTTCTTTGCCTGTTTTAAAGCATTTCTCTCATTTTCAGTGCTTTTGCCTTTATCCCATCCCCCACTCCGAAGACATCTGTTATTTTATCCCCTAAAACATTAAAAATCTTTTATTACATCCTGATTTTTTTTTAAATTTTAATAATGTGAGAATTCGAAGTTTTGAAAAAACTCAAGTTGTGGACACCAAAAAAAGCTCAAGTAATGTTATTTGAACGTAATTTACTAACTTAATTTCTTAACATAATCAATCATTAACATTGGATTGACAATTTGAGCCTCGATATTGATTTCGATGAACATTAATCAAATAACACTAACAGATTATATCAGTAAGTTACCTACAAATAATATTCTTATTTCGTTATTGCACTCTATACCTTGGAAAAGTGCTTCTTCCTAAAGGGTTAGCTTTGTTCCTATCTTGATTAGAAAGATAAGCATCACCTATAATGACCTTTTCCACAAGGTTTTTTCAAAATAGCCAAGACTGTTTCAGCCTTTATACTTATCTTTGTGAAAGAGGCCATGTTTGCTCAATTTTTTTTTTTTTGCTAATTAAAAAAAAGGTAGGGACAAAGAAGAACACCAAAAAATCACCTCAATAAACCCTCACTAGCGGAATCATGTTCAGCATATCACCAAGAATGTTGAGTGGAGTGTATAGACAATAACCATGTTGGAACCCAGGCACCAATAATATAGACCTAAACCTACTTGAAACCCCAATGGTCAATTGGTTAAAAAGCTCCGATAAACAAAATATAAAATAAAATAAAAATTGGTAAAAAAGCAGCAGGCCTATATTTTTTTGGAGTTGACTACACTATCATTTTTTTCCCGATACCATGCCTATGTATTACATTTGTGATTATATTTAATACATTTGCGAGCGTTTTTACTATTATTATTGTACCAAAAAACATTGATAAAACTAATTACCATAACAGTGATATAAAAACATTCAAAAATGTAATAATTTTTTTTTTACTGAAAAAAAGTGATAAAAATAATTACCATAAATGTTGTTGGTAATTATATTAAGACTTTTTGGTGTCAAGAAGGTTAACTTGCAAATCATAAAAAAATTAGAATTTCAATCTAAGGGCTAAAGTGTTATAATTGGAACTTAAAAGAGCTAAAAACGTTAATTATGATCTTGGCAACACGGGGTGAAATATGACGGAATTGGGTAGCAAACCCAGGACGGACGTCCCAGCACCCGCCCCCTGCTGGAAGTGGTAGGTCAGTGGTTCGACTCACGTGACAATTCCACATAGATCACACGATGATGATGAACCTTAAATAGCAGCTAAGATTAAATCTCAACATTTACCATGGTACCTCACGACGACTTTTCCATTGACATTCAGATGATTTGAAGATGGATTGAGATAGAATTGACGACTCATATAGCAAACAAGTACGCAATGAAATAATCAGCATTTCTTGAGT